TTTTTTTTTTTTTTTTTAAAGTGTGACGGGTGTAATGGATTTTTATTTGGCCTTTTTGGGGGCTGAAGAAAGAAGATTTTAGAAAAAAGAAGACGTCAAATGGTAAGTTAAATTTTTTTTTTTTTACAGGTTAGTTATTTTATTCACCGCTCACTATTTGTAGGGTGAGGGGGGTAGGTAGGGGATAGGTTTTTTTGGGTGGGGGGGGTGGTGACTAGGGGCCCCCTATTGTTTTACTGGGGCCCCCACCCACCGCTCAGGGGTGGGGGCCAGGGGGGGGAGCACAGTAGGTCCCCCCCCTTGTTTTACTGGGGCCCCCACCCACCGCGCAGGGGTGGGGGCCAGAGGGGAGGACAGTAGGTCCCCCCCCTTATTGTTTTATTAGGGCCCCCACCCACCGCGCAGGGGTGGGGGCCAGGGGGGGAGGACAGTAGGTCCCCCCCCCTTATTGTTTTATTGGGGCCCCCACCCACCGCTCAGGGGTGGGGGCCAGGGGGGGGAAGGACAGTAGGTCCCCCCCCCTTATTGTTTTATTGGGGGCCCCACCCACCGCGCAGGGGTGGGGGCCAGGGGGGGAGGACAGTAGGTCCCCCCCCTTATTGTTTTACTGGGGCCCCCACGCACCGCTCAGGGGTGGGGGCCGGGGGGGAGGACAGTAGGTCCCCCCCCCTTATTGTTTTATTAGGGCCCCCACCCACCGCTCAGGGGTGGGGGCCAGGGGGGAGGACAGTAGGTCCCCCCCCCCTCATTATCTTCATGGCCCCCACCCGCCGCTCAGGGGGGGGGAGGGGGGGAGGACAATAGGTCCGCCCCCCCTTATTGTAATTTATGTCTTTTTTTTCAACAGTGAGCAGCCATAGGCTGCTCGCTGTTTAGTAGACATGCCCCTACTCGCGGTATAGAGAGTAGGGGCATTTGGGAGATTTTAATTTAATTTTTTGCGCTCGTTTTTTTTTTTTTTTTAAAGTGTGACGGGTGTAATGGATTTTTATTTGGCCTTTTTGGGGGCTGAAGAAAGAAGATTTTAGAAAAAAGAAGACGTCAAATGGTAAGTTAAATTTTTTTTTTTTTACAGGTTAGTTATTTTATTCACCGCTCACTATTTGTAGGGTGAGGGGGGTAGGTAGGGGATAGGTTTTTTTGGGTGGGGGGGGTGGTGACTAGGGGCCCCCTATTGTTTTACTGGGGCCCCCACCCACCGCTCAGGGGTGGGGGCCAGGGGGGGGAGCACAGTAGGTCCCCCCCCTTGTTTTACTGGGGCCCCCACCCACCGCGCAGGGGTGGGGGCCAGAGGGGAGGACAGTAGGTCCCCCCCCTTATTGTTTTATTAGGGCCCCCACCCACCGCTCAGGGGTGGGGGCCAGGGGGGGGAGGACAGTAGGTCCCCCCCCCTTATTGTTTTATTGGGGCCCCCACCCACCGCTCAGGGGTGGGGGCCGGGGGGGAGGACAGTAGGTCCCCCCCCTTATTGTTTTACTGGGGCCCCCACCCACCGCTCAGGGGTGGGGGCCAGGGGGGGGGGAGGACAGTAGGTCCCTCCCCCTTATTGTTTTATTAGGGCCCCCACCCACCGCTCAGGGGTGGGGGCCAGGGGGGGAGGACAGTAGGTCCCCCCCCCTTATTGTTTTAATAGGGCCCCCACCCACCGCTCAGGGGTGGGGGCCGGGGGGAGGACAGTAGGTCCCCCCCCCCTCATTATCTTCATGGCCCCCACCCGCCGCTCAGGGTGGGGGAGGGGGGGAGGACAATAGGTCCGCCCCCCCCTTATTGTAATTTATGTCTTTTTTTCAACAGTGAGCAGCCATAGGCTGCTCACTGTTTAGTAGACATGCCCCTACTCGCGGTATAGCGAGTAGGGGCATTTGGGAGATTTTAATCATCCTTGTGCTATTATGGGGGTCATATTGACCCCCATAGAGTGAGAGGGTGTACTGGGGGGCTTATGAAGTGGTGGGGAGCACTGCTCCCTGCCGCTTCTATAGTTACATATTACAAGGAGGGAGCTGCGTGCCGGTAGCTCCCTCCTTGTAATAACCTGCACGAACAAACTAACACTGATACATTGTGTTTGTTTGTTCGGCTGATATTTCTATTCACTCATTCGTCTGTCTGATGAATGAATGAATAGATGAAATTCCCGTTCGCATGTCCAGGTGTTTCACTGGGCATGGGCGGGAATCTCAGCGTCTGCCTAGTGTGGGCTGATGACGTGTCCCCGAGGGACTTCACCTACCCACATAAAGATGGCGGCGCCCTGAATCAAGATCGGGGCAGAAAATAAGGATTAAAAAATAGGTAATGTGGGGGCTTAGGGGCATTTGGGGGTGACTAGTGGGTCAATTGGATGTAGTGGAGGCGGGAGAGGGGTTAAAAAAAAAAACGGGATTCAGCATGACAGTGCCGCTTTAACTTGTATTTAAAAAATTGTAAATTAGAATTCATTGTCAAAGTGCACATGTGGTAAGTGCCCGAGCTTGGCAATCTCATATTTAGTGGGAGCTCACTATAATATCAAAGTTAGGATAAATAAAAGTCCATACCTTTTCAATGTATTATACAGCAATGTATACTTTGCCTTCAGCTCTGCCACTCTGGTTCCAGGTATTTTACCAGAAGTGAATAGCTGTGAAAAAGAAATAATGTACATGAATACATTTAGTCTAAGTAAAGCGGAAACAAAGAGTTATCGTGTTTCAGAACTGCGTTTGTAACAAAGGAAGTTAAAAGCATGTATGGCTTCATAAATTGCACAATTTATTTTTAGCTTAGAAAATTCCCTCCTTGCTTAATAACCTTTCTTTAAAGAATGAAATGCCCTGTATCTCCCACTTTTATAACAGGATCTTTGTCCACACATTTAAATTGTAATGAGGTCTTGAACCTGTGTCAAACTGCCCTGTGAAAACCTGAAACTTAAAACAAAGTTATTGTAGCATATCTATAATCATAGACCTGCAGTGCTCACTTTCGCTACTCCTACTGCTATGCCCTATTATGGGCACAAAATAGAAACTTCTTTTTTTAATAGAGATTTTAATTTGCTGCTTTAACTACACAAGATCCATAGTAGTGGAGAGAAATGCATTGTAAGCAGTAAAGGAAGTAGGAAATAATCTATTAATCTACTCTATTAATGTAGCATCTGAACACATATTTAAGATAACAAAGACTACCGACACTCATTTTAAAGTTTAATTCGATTTCTTTTAACACCCTTGTAAATGCAATATTGACCATACATTTCAATAACTGCTACTGAAATTTGGAGAGTTCATGTATGCCCGCAGCAATCATGACCATGATTAATTTTTACAATTAGTTCCCACCCATTGTCAATGGGTGAAGGCTGGGGGAGACAACAGGTCCCCACTGTTATCACATAGAGCTGCCACCCACCGATAATGGGTGGGGTCGGGGCGACACCGGGTCTTCCCTGATCAGTAGACATGCCACCACTAGTGAGTAGGGGCAGGAAGGAGATTTTAAATCTCTCTTAATTACTAATACCAAGTAAATTTTACTTAGTGTTAGTAAAGTGGGCTGAAAAAAAACATTTTCGTCTTTCAGC